CAATCTACCATCTAAAATATCTGATGTAGCTGTGCAGACTACAAAAACAAGGACCTGGCCAGGTTTCTTAGTTTTGCCATGATCCCCATGGTATGGACAGTGCCCCAAACCATCAGGAAGCAGTTTGGAATGAATGTCACCCAAATTCCCAAATATTGTTTATAAATTTTTGTTTTCATTTAAATGGGGTTGCTTGTAAATAGTAATGATCACAGTCAATCTCTTTCTAAAGGGAAAAAATGGAATATGGTATAAAAATGAATACTTTGTAATGGTATGGTTTTTCATTTATTGATTTTTCATTTAAGGTCATTTTTGTGATATATATATATATACATATGTGCACATATATATATTTCTCTTGTTTAGATTTTTGTGTTTTTACAGCTCTTTTAAAATTAGATGTATAATTAAGTTCAGATTATAGATAGTTACCTCTAATAGTCAAAACTTATACTTAGGTTAGTTAAGTTTTCTAGATATACAGAGATGTATATATATTCTTCAAACCTTTCAAAGACTTACAGAATATATGGAATTTAAATGGTTTAAGGTTTTTCATGATAGTGAGACACAACTACTCCTGGCATACCAATTTCACCTGAGAGGAAGATGGGCATCGAAGAAACTCGTTATGGAGTTTGTTTTCAACATGGCAAGATTAGCCACTTGGGCAAGAAACTGCTTTTGCCTTTACTGTTTGGTAGACTGGACATACAAGACCCACAGGAAAGTGACTGCTAAACTTGATGGGACAGTTCTAAAGGGTTCCTGCTTCATAGAAGAGGCTGCCAGACATTCTACAGGACACAGAGGAAACAGACTGACAAACTGCTAATACAGGTGGACAGTTATACTTCCTGCTGTGCTCAGAAGTCTTCCAGACACACTGTGGCCTATGGGCTGAAGATGGATGCCCCAATGTCACAGAGGAACTTCGGATGACTGTCCAAGTAGCAAGATGTCTCTGTCAATTCTAGCGTTTACATATTATCCTTCTGTGGTCTTTGATGGAGTTGAAGACAGAGAGTTGTAATTATAATTGTTTTCCTTAGTTATGAAAAAAGCTAAGCTACATATAAGACTTTAGACTCATACAGATAGGATGGATGATAAAATACTTTCTTTAAATCTTAATAAATGTTAATTGACTAAATATTGTAACTATAGTTTTTACTTGATACTGAAGCCCTGGACATGGGCTGACAGCATCGTAACTAATAGAGTCTCTGTGTATTACTTGGGATTGGCACGGCTCTGGGACCAGGCTGGCAGGAAGAATGCTTGTTACAAAGAATATATGAGCTTTGTAAGTTTCAAGGGAGAGTAAGACACCATAGTTTGAAATAAATCAACACACCATGTATGAATAATTGGGAAATGGTAAGGCTACAGGCACCATTGAAAACACAACCAAGTCAGGAACACTCAGCATTTTCAGGAATCCAATCTCTTAGGAGAGGAAAACCAATATACAGCACAAGGGATTTAAGCACTTAAAGGCACACTGGGATGAATCTGTATGCCTCCAGCACAGTTGTATTGCCATTCATGCTGAAGGGATATTGGAGTGACAAGTAAATTATCTTTAATTCATATTATTTATTTATTTCATTAGTTAGCTTGAGTCTTTGAGGTAGTATCTCACTACATAAAGAAAACTGAATTATGTCTGGTGTCCTGAGAACTGGAACTGGAGCTACAGACAATTGTAAGCCTACGTGTGGATGCTAGTCTGGAGAATAGCAGCCAATGCTCTTAACCATTGAACGATCTCTCCTGCCCCTTGGGTTAGATCATTTTTGAAGCAGATTTGCCTTTAAGATTTTGGTTCCCTTTTTATAGCCGAGCTACCTCACATTCAGGACAGTCCTCACTTCATGAAATGTGGAGAAAGCTGAGACATTCCCAGATGAGAGGGCCACAGCAGAAATGGCTTTGCTCTGTTAGAATTGCCCCTGGCAGCAGAGGCCTCTATTACATCCTGGAACAGTGAATCCTGAATTGGTTTGGCATGTTGTATAAATAAACATGGATGGAATTTTTTAAGGCAATTTCAATGGAATGTTTTAATAGACTTTAAAAAAAACTGCTTCAGTTTGTTGGTTTGTTTGTTTGTGGATCTTTGTTTTTTTTTATTTTGGTAGGTAGGACCTTACTATCATGTATCCCTGGCTTGTCGAAAATTGGTTTTGAAGACCCAGTTGACATCAGACCTGTGATGTTTGCCTACATATAGGTGTCCAATCTTTTGTTTGTGTTTCACATTTTCTTAATCCTTTACCATGTATGATTATTCTCCATGCATCAAACTAACAACCAAGTACAATACAATATTATCTGAAGAACTCAAAAACAGCTATCAATGCCCACTTTGACATTGTGGTCTCTTTTTGGTTGTGATTTTTATATTGAATATAAATAATATTGAAAACTTGAGAGACACCTTTCTGGCTCAAATGACAAAAATAATATGTAGTTAATTCACAGTGATTCATTATGAATGGTTTCCACTGACCAACTATGGGAAACACCTTGAGTCGGGATGCATTGTCTGTACTCAGCTAAGGACTGGACTTCAGCATGGCTGAGTGTGAGGAGTGCTGACACAGTGCAGAAGACATTTCATCAGGCTCTTTAAGTGGTGTTGTCTCATCTAAGTAATGAGTGTCTTCTATGTACCAGAAACTGTCTACATGCTTTGCTCATGGGAACGCCTATCCTGCCCAGCCACACTATTGTTCTGTGAATTGCATGCAATTACCAAAATGTAAATGTGGGAACAGGTACAGAGGGGTTCAGAGAAGCTACCACAGTCAACAGGTTCAAGGTAAAACTAAACTTCCAAAGTAGATGTTCTCTGCCCATACTTGACCACTATATGCTATTTGCCTTTAAAGTTCATGGAAGTCAAATGAGGAGGTGAATGTGTGTAATCCTGAGGCAAGCGTTAAAGTCCCAATCTTAACCAAGAGCAAAATTCACAGAGATATCTAACTTGGAGATTACATGAAATATATGAAATGGGACAATGAAATTTTAATCTAGATTCAAAATCAAGATTACCAAGTATACAACTGCCTAAATTCTAGAAGCTAAAAGTGATGACATCGAGAGGACTCTGCAACATGTTCTGATGTTTTCCTTTGTGTTTCATACTCTTCATTCCCCCAATTTGATCTTAAATGTTATTTTGTGATAATTGCAGCCTATAAGGGACTTCCTGTATCCAAATATTTGCGGTCAATCTGAAGTAGAGATTGGAGGGCAGAGAAGAAGATGAGGACAGAATAAAGAAATGGAGGACAAAAAAAAAGACAGGAGAAAGGGAAGACATTTCATCATACACTGCTTCCTTTTATCCTCCATGCTACCTCCAAAGCTACATTCTTGCATTCCAAATAAATTCAAACACAATTAAAAGCAAGACCTACTGAAAAATTCCATAAGCTGTTTCAAGTAAGGCCGATACGACAATGTTATCAATTTTTAATATAAAATAAGTAAATATCAAATGGAAAACAAGAGCTGAAGAGCATAATAAGTAAATTCATATGTATAAAACAAGGAGATTCAATTGTATCCAATTATTTCAGCCAATCACCTAGAAGGGAAGATCCTCTAAAGAAAATTGCATTGCCTTCCCAACTCCTTGGAGAGCCAGTTTAGTTAACAGCCTACCTACACTTCAGAGATGACCATGCAGCTTACATGTCAAACTCATTTTCAAATGTCAATCATGTCCTTTTCAATCTAATTAGTTTGGAAAGTAGTGTCACTGACCTGGAACTATGCAGACCGTTTATTATCATATCATTTGATCAACCTAACACTTTGCCTCAGTTGAGCTTAGGACACCTGTAGCCAAAATGTAATATCCTTTCTCCTACTCATTACTGGTAAGTCTCAATACAATTCCCTATTTACAGCTCAATTTATCACTGTGAGTATGAATGGCCAACTTTACAGTAGCATTCCACGGAATCTTCTTTGAGATTTCATGGCAATTAAAATAGAAAGGTAAAGGAAATATACACAGATAGTTACTATATATGTATATATACATATAGGTACATGCATACATACATATTTTTGTTAGTACCAAATATATACAGCAGATTCAGGATTTTAGATAAGTAACTGCAGATGAGGAAAGTAGGGAGAACAGAAGGCCATGCACAGGCTGGGAGTAATTTACAATCTTAACTACACAGATTGGGTATTTGTTTCCTTTAATAGGACACAATGAACTACACAGAGAGACTTTGCAGGTTGTCATCATATTGGGTCCGCTTAATAGTAAGGAAAACCTGTCCTGGGTTCATGGTATTTAACCTGACTTTAACTCGGCTAGGGGCAGGTGAGGTAGCAATGAAAAAGAAATCATTACTAGCTGCCCAGAGGTCAGAGAGAGCATCGGCAAATGTGTAAGAGAGGAGCAAGAGGGCTGGGTGGGGCTCGAGTGGGTATGTGCTCCATGCGGGCAGCAAGGGAGCTGGAAGATGGCTCACGGAGTAGACACCCCTCGCCTGGTCCATTCTCCATCAAGACCAGGGAAATTACATGATCTTTTTCCTATTTCAGCTTTGCATATTAAGAATGAATTTGCAAGACAAAAATGCAAGCAAGTAATCTTATCTCCACTGCACAGCCTAACACATTGCACCAAGGAGGGAAAGAATACAGGCACTCTGATATGCCCCCCAAAATGGTATATTCATATTTTTAGCTGTGGCATTTTTAAGTGCACCTGTTATATTTAAAGTAATGACTAGTCACTGTAGGATGGTAATCTAAAAGCAAAGTCCTGGCCGCCAGATCTACCTTTTTTTTTAATCCTGGACTTTTATTGGAGGAAGTTAAGTGGATTTTACCCAAATTTATGTTTGTGCGATGGAAAGGCGAGAACGTTACTCATGTTTTCCAGATCAATTTAATACTACTGAATAATTTTACGCGAGGTGAAAAAAGCAAAAGATGAACATCTATCTCACACTTACCTTCCGGTGAGGAAGCAGACTTTTGGGAAAAGACAGCGTTTACTTTACTCTTCTTGTTGATATCATTGTTTACAGACAAGCTGGACTGAATTTTTCTATGCATTTTCTGAGAAACAGGAGCTGAAGTTCTGTGGTTATCTGTGGGTGCATGTTTGGCTCCGAGATGAATTCCATTCCCATTGCTCAGACTCGTGAGGCCCCCATTCTTTATCTTGTCTGCTTCCTCCTTGCTGGGCTCCTGTGTTGATGTCTGCAGCTGAGGCAGGGGCTGAGGTTGGGCTGAGTTAAAAAAAATAAGTTCATCTAGTTAAGCAAGATAATGCATAATTTTACAAAAGTGAAAAGATATATTTAAACACACAAATTCAAAAATACAGACTGCAGCTCTAATCCATGCTTATAAAACTGAAGAGGCTGGGGTGGGGCAGGGGACAAGTTAGTATAGAGGAGAGGAAGAAGGAAAAGGTGGAAAGGGTAGAGGAGGAATGTTCTAGAAGAAAGGAAGGTAGGGCTAGAAAGTAAAATAAAGGTTTAACAAAAATCACTAGGCAAAGGCATGTTTTGCTAATTTAAAATAACACTTAAATTAAAATCTCTTTTAAGAAAAGAAAGGCAGTTAAATACTGCTTCGGTGCAGGCTGCTCTTGTCTGTTGGTCTCCTAAGTGCTGCACATACAACAGCATGGTCTCAATATGAAACTCACCAATTACATTTTGAAATGAAAGGAACAACAAATTCAGGCATTCAAAGTCAGACAATAGTCCAACATAGTTTTCTTCCAAGAAATTCCGTTAACTTCATTTTAAATGAAACAAACTTGTTCAATCTGATACTGTGCAGTTGCCAAAAGCAAATCTAAGCACTTCATAAGAACTCATATTTGAGTCTGGACCAAGAGGAGGAGCCCACCTTCATTCCTCTTATTCAACACTACACCAGAAGTTCCAACAAAATAAATGAGCAAGTAAAAGACCATCCGAGTCCTAGAAAGGAGAACACAAACTTATGGAGTTGTGCACACTTAGGAATGAATGAATAATTTAAGTTCTGAAAGTTAAGAATTAATAAAGATATACTTAGGATAAACTGTACAAAGTAAATAGTATTCCAGTATACAATCCAAATGGCAATCAATTTTAACAAGTAAACAAGGAAAGAATTAGCTTTTCATCATAGGGAGAAAAACAAAATCCCAAACCCATTCCTAAAAACACTAATATAGTCATAGCTGAAGCAAAAAGAATGGGTAGACAGTTACAGGGATCAACAAAATGACAAAATATTATTGAAAAGCATATAAGTGCCTAAATAGTGAGCACAAGTATGTTCATTTTTATTACTTTGGTAATTCCTATTTTAGTTAGTATGGTTCCCACTAACATTTCTTTTGGTCCTTTAAAAAATGGCACTTAAGAAGCTGATCTCAAAATAAGGAAGAGGAAAAATACTACCAAAGAAATTTTAGGGAAGAAAAGTAAGTGTTGGTAGAACTTTAATTAGATATGGAATTGCACTATCAAATTCCAGTAGCTATAACACTGTGGCATTCAGCCATGCACAGACAAAAGTCAAGGGAGCAGAAGACTCCCAGATATGTAGATGCATGCACATACATACACATGTCTATGACATACAGACAAATTCCAGACCATCCACATGCCTATGTATGATAAGAAATTCTTTCTAGTTTAAAGTGGAAAGAAAGACTACCTTAATGGCATGATACTGAAAAGGCTAATGAAGTTAATTCTTTGGACACTGCATCATCGAACAATTGGTTGACTAATGACAATGTGTGTTGGCCACCATTACTGAACAGCTAGCTCCATGTGACCTCAGGACCAGCGTCTACAATGTAGCATCTTAAACAGGATATCCATTTCTTAGGAATGTGCAATCATTTGATTTTGAGAATCATATGCTTCTGCTTCTTGGAGCAACCAGAATGGCATTCTAACGACTGCCTTTGAAGCCAGTTATGCATATGCATTTCAAAAGATGCCAACGAAGAAAGTTAAACCTAATTTAGTGTTCTTTACAGTGCACTTTCTAACAATCTCTCCAAATAAATGGAATGTTTGAGCTTCTTCTTCTCTAAAACTAGTAACTCAAGCAATCTGAGTGCTTGGTTAAGTTGAAATGTCATTGACCAATGGTGGGTAACTCCTCATCAATCAGTCAAAAATGCCTTCTCATACTCCAGTCCAAATAACCAGAGAATCACTATGTAATAGTTAAACAGTCTCATTGAATAAAAAATGCAAGTGGTAAAAAAAACGAGTGTGTCCTGCCTCCAAATTCTAAACAATGATAAATTTGACCTTTCTTTGCATTTTTCATTCTACTAACAGAACTGCCTCTGCAAATTATGGGTTACAGCTGGAGTGCTAGTTTAATGCATCCTTAACGATTTATCTATGTTTCAATCTTCAAACCATATCTGTTTCTAGGGGCAGTTAAATGATAGCACTTTAATTTTTTGTTCCATTGTCACCTAATTATTTTTCTGTGGTTTTTGAATTACAGTTAAGTAACCAAATATTACCTCTTCACTTCATTTTTTTAAACATTAAAACATTTTTAGTTGAATGATCTTGGCCTAGGTGTGCAGTACATCAAATCAAAACTGGATAAGCTTTATCTTAGTCATCTCAATAGATGGGAAATGTAACTTGATTGATCGTTTTTCAAGGGTATGATTTTCATTTTATGGTCAAGTTGCAATTAAAACTAAACAGGAAACCTGGCTTTATTATCAAATGAAGAAAGAAACTGCCTGCCTGATTAAACCACAACTACTTGGCTTAAAATAGATTTCTTCTTATTGTGTACAAATCAAAAAAATCTAAAAAAGCATGCTAATTTGGGGGTGACACAATGCTTCTTAAAACACAGGCAACGCCTGGGGACCCTCGCTCCCTCTTTAATGATGCACCGTTCTCATTCAGCTGTCTTTCTTTTTTCAAATCTTTACATATGTGACAGCTCTCAAAAGTAGACCATACACCATCTGGCATTTTCCAGGGTATAACTTGTGCAAGTTCAGCTCTATTGGGAGTGTACCGCTATCTTCTGCCTGTGTTATAAAGGGACAATAGAGTGTAGAACTTAGGGGTTGTTTTGAATTATTCATTTTTTTGCCTGTATATTCAAGAAATTTTTACAAACTCTGCATTTTGTAATACATAATCGTATGCGTTAAAGGTACAAAGAAACTTTTTGACACCTCTTTTCCACAGAAGGCTGGCATTTTGTTTGATATATGAACATTCGGCATCTGTTATATCACTCCAAACAGGACGGGTGCTGCTACAAAAGACCCCATTTTAAATTTACTCTCTATGAGCGAAAAATGTATTCTCAATATTCAGGAATAAATGCAATACTTGTCAAAATTTCAAATACCAGGTATTAGAGCATTCAGCATCTTCAAACCTGAGTAGCGTTGGTCACCTGATCACCATATGTGTAAAGACATTTTTTATTCAACCACGGCTCACACAATGCAGCATGATTGTAATTTTAATATCTGTGATGAATAGTTACAAATGTCTTCAGAAATACTGTCCTTTCCAGGTTCAAATGTTTTCAATCAGGGAGGATTAGGTGTAACAGTTTTCAGTGGGAATAATAAACATGGGAATAAATGAGCCAATAGCATGAACTTCTTTTGATAATTAAAAAAACTCTAGGTGATATTGTAACTAGTAATAAGTATACATGAAACTCCAGTTATTGGCATAGCAATGGAAAGCCACATATTTCTCTAAGAGATAATCTATTACTGGGAGCAGATCATCTTCATTGCTGGTGTCCACACAAATCATATTCAATAAAATTACTAGTTAATTTAAATGGTTAATGTACACATAAACATCACACCAAGTCCCATTACTTTTCTTAGGGACATTTATAAGGTTTTTACTGGGGATGCAGTGACTACATGGTCACTACAGGATACACACATGTACATATACAATAATGGTAGAAATTTTATATATGCAATACTGTGTATGAATATATGAACAATTTATCATATTAAATGTTATTAAAAGATACCATTAATTCTTTTTGTTTTGTTTTGTTTTGTTTTATTTTTTGTTTGTTTTTCAAGACAGAGTTTCTCTGTGGTTTTGGAGGCTGTCCTGAACTAGCTGTTGTAGACCAGGTTGGTCTCTTTGAACTCAGAGATCCACCTGCCTCTGCCTCCTGAGTAGTGGGAATAAAAGGCATGTACCACTATCGACCAAGAAAGATACCACTCGTTCTAACACTTTATATGCAATAGTATCCTTAAATGGAAGATGAGATTTTTTTCAATATGACTCATGATAAATCTACACTATTTTTATTGCTACTTAGTATGAATTTAAGTAAAATCACTTATAGTCAAGGTAAAACAATTCCTCTCTTTCTTATCATCCAGTGCCAAGACTTTATCCATGTGCAAATCTGGGTGCACAGCCCATAAATACCTCCCAGTAGCAGACTCCTGGTACACTCTATACAACTTTTCTTTATACTCTTCCAAGGGCTTTGGGAAATGCCTTCTTTACCTCTTGAATTTCTGGACTCGTTTGGTCACATATCTTATTTTCTATCTTTGCTGTATCTAACGTATACATTTAACATATTAAATTATATTTTGGAATTCTTAAGTTTTTAGAACATCCATGAGTTTGCAATCCCAGTCAGGCACTGTGGCTCCCTGGATGTGAGTTCACTTTCTGACACATTGTACTTAGTTTAAAAAATTAACTCAATTGTAATTATTGTGTAATAAATCATCAGACCACAATAGAAAGGAGTACCATTCAAATTAAAAAAGGCAAAATGTTAAAATTGTTTGGAAAGGCACCTTGTTTATTGCTATTGCAATTCACAAAGGACAGTTAGAATATAATTAAACATATTTCGAAGGAGGAGACTAATGGCTTCCTGCAAATCCATTTCTGAGTTGTCCAAGATCATATTTACTCCCAACCCACCCTTGAAGTTAGATTCAGCAATTCATCCACATTCTCAAAGACAGACTTATTTCTATGCTGTTTCCAGGCCTGGCCCTGAGGGCTTGTATGTAGCTTGTCCTTAATGTGGCTGGCAGCCACCAAACTTTGACCACAGCTGAGGAGCATACTTCAGGGATTCTGAAGGAAGCAAACACTAGGAGCCTTCATGAAAGCGGTGGAGAGACTGACTTCCCAGGCTCATGCCTGTGTTTGTTCGTTTCTTTAACCTCACATTCAAAAACTTTTCTTATTGCCCTCATCTTTAAATT